CGCAAACCCTCTAACCAGTTGCATAGTTTTGAAATAATGGAAAATACAAATGAAGTCCATTGCAGCTATTTAAACATTTACAACTCCTGCCTTCCAATGTTTTATACGTCAGTCAGAGTCTGCTAAAATAATGATTTAGGAACAGATTTAGTTTCTTAGTAAATATTTAATACACAGATGTATTTGATTCTCTTACTGGGCTCTGCTACCATGGGAGGTTCTAAATTGCACACAATTTGAATCAGCTGAGGGAACTCCACTTAGCAAGGTAAGGGCAGCTTTGAAGTATAGATGGGGTTCTTATGGAAGCCTACCTGCATAGGCTGCCTGGAGATATCCTGAATCTGCATCTTCCTGGGTAACCTGGCTACATCCCTTCCCTGGCCAGGACTGCCCACTTTATTAGTTACAGCTCTTCCTCTCAGCAGAGAAGGGTCTATGGGAGTCTTGTGCAGCTGCAATACTCTTACAGATGATTAGTCAGCTAATAGCTATTTTGTGAATGGGTCCACCTGCATGAACCCTAGAATAAACTGAGTCCCTTTGTTGAAAAACTTCAGGAAAAAAAAATGGCCTACATTGGGGTAGTCAATAGTCAGACAGCGGACCAAATCTGAATCGCCTGACGCTTTTGAACGGACCCAGAAATCTTTTTATTTACTTACTATCATTATTTCATTATTTTTTCTGGAGTCTGGACCTTGACTATACATTGACCAAGAAATTTGGATCTTGACAAAAAATAATTGACTACCCCTGACCCACATCTATATAGCAGCTTTCATATCCAGTATCCAAAATGACTTTCAAATGATTCAGAATCAAAATACAGCACCCTCTAAGATGGGGAAATGGCAGCCAGACCAGCAACTTGTCCCCACAACAGGGAAGACAGAATAGAAATTTTAGACAAGGGCATTGGAGGAAACCTTTATGCAACAATTTAATTGATTTATTTTTATAGCTGTTTAATTAGGAAGTATTAGCAAGCTTACAAAATCACTACCATACAAGTACCAAAAATACAACATTTACCATTATATAATAGAACCTCAGTTTGTAGAAGTATTGTCCAATTTAAGACTGGAAAGATAAAAGGCTGAGTCAACCTACTTAACACACACTAACAGTGGCTCTCTCTTCCTTTTTTATGTGGCTTCCCATACAAACATACACGTGTTTCATTATTTTATTACATTTTACAATCATTACATATTGACCATCGCAGTACTTTGTCTATTGTAGTTTGAATCTAATACTCATCTTTATTTTAACAGGAAAACTGAGATATGCCAACAACAGCAATTACAAAAATGATGTAATGATCAGAAAAGAGGTATGGTATTTGTGTATTTTAGTAAACATATCTTTGAATACTCTGCAAATAAAACTAAACCAAATAAATGGTTTTCGTGAATTGATATAATTGGCTTTTAACACTTAATCAAAGTGAGCATTCCTTTTTAGCTATAGTTACCCTCTATGGCTCCATCACCATAATATCTAATCACCTCACAAACAGGAATTGATTTAATTAATTCATCCTCTTACCATTTCTATGACAGATTATCACCACTTTACATATGGAGAACTGATGCAGAAAAATTAAGGGCCTCATCCAAAGCCCATTGCAGTCATAGGGAAGTTTCCAATTGACTTTGGTCATTCAGTCAGGTCACACAGTTTGTGCCAAAGCCATGCATTGAATCCTTGTTACCTGATTCCTAGTCCAGTGCTTTAATCATCCTTTCTGTTGTGTTTCCTTTTCTGATGCATCTTTCTCCCTGTGTTCTTATTTACTTTAGGAATTAGTTTTATCTGGTATAAATGGTATTGCAATATTTTTTGAGTGTAAAAAAGTTTTCACATCCAATTTTTTTTTAAAAGGTTATTCTTCATTATTGTTTCTTGCTTAGGTATACACCCTAGACAACAGGGGTGGGGAGCAGAGAACATGCCATAGAGTCACTACTCCCGTACATGCACTTTTCTCTCCTCCCCTGAGACTTGATCCTCCTAATTTGGGTCTCTTCCAGAAAAGGCGACTGGGCCTTTTACTTCTTCATGATTAGAAGAGTTGACCAGGATGAACTAAATGCTTGGTGTCAGCTATTTATCTGTGTGCATTCAACACTTCTAGAGTGGTAACTTCCATCTGAACAAATTCTGTTTTGTAAATGCTTTCTGTAACCTACAAGAAGGCTAATAAAAGAGCACTTCATTCATGCTCAGTCCATCCTAGATACAATAAGGAAGATTAACTTTTGTAAATAGATTAGACATGACAACTTTTCAACACCCAATTTTTGGAGTAGAATAATAGCCTGCTTCTGCAAACCCTTACATGCCTGAATACTCCTTATTATGCATTTATGCCCATTGATTTCATGCCCCAGCAAGGGCTACTCAACTGAATAAGGGTTTTCAGAACTGGGACTTCTGGTCATATATATTTGTAATATGGAGAACTGTCTTGACAGTTTCTCTAACTTCTTCTGGGAGCTGATAGTTCATCATCTTATAAGTTGTATGCATATGATTATTGAAAATCCTCATAAGAGCTTTCTGAATTTTGAAAGCATGTGTTCTTGTTCAGAGATTCAGGGGCCTGAAATACTTTAAAAATGTCTTCAACATGTCAACTTTCAAACATTAAGTAGTTTTCTGTGCTTGTGCATCAGCTCTTTGGTATATATTAAGATAAGTTTAAATGTTGCTTGTAGGCCTATGTACACAAGAGTGTGATGGAGGAACTGAAGAGAATAATTGATGACAGTGAAATCACAAAAGAAGACGATGCCTTATGGCCTCCACCTGACAGAGTTGGTCGGCAGGTTAGTAGATTTTCCACTTGAATTATTAACATTGTATTAATTTGTATTTGGTTGCTTGTCATAAGCATAACTGGGTATTTAACATTTTTTGGTCAACTGAAAGATCCACTAGAATCTTATTTTTAACAGATCGGTAAATATGTGAAACTTAAAACTTTGAGTAGTAGAGCAGTTTACTCTGAAAGTGTGAGTGCCTGGGCGTTTAAGTCATGTATAATGAGATTTGTTGTTTTTAAGCAGTGAGATAAAATGGTTTTACATTTAAACTGTTCCTATGAATGAACCAACATAATTTTCAAGCAGTTCTGCTATTTGACTGGGTTTTTTTATTTATTTTCTAGGAGCTTGAAATTGTAATCGGTGATGAACACATCTCTTTTACCACATCAAAAATCGGATCACTTATTGATGTAAATCAATCCAAGTATGTAGTCTGAGAATAATTCCCCTTTTGCCAAAATGGTGTCATTAATAAGGAATGTCTATTGAAACTACAACCAATTTATAAATCTACATTGGGAGCACTCATTAATACATGATGACCATTATCATTCAAAAACTTCTGTTGTCTCATACTGCCTCTTTGGAGGATCCTCTGTTAATTATTACACTCTGTTAATTATTAGACTGTGAATGGCTAGCCAACTACAGAAGCAGTTTCTCCTCCCTTGGTGTTCACACTTCAACTGCTAGCAGAGGACCTCACCCTCCCTGATTGAACTAACCTCCTTATCTCCAGACTGATTCTTACCAGCATATTTATACCTGCCCCTGGAAATTTCCATTACATGCATCCGACGAAGTGGGCATTCACCCATGAAAGCTTATGCTCCAATACATCTGTTAGTCTTAAAGGTGCCACAGGACTCTCTGTTGCTTTTTACAGATCCAGACTAACACGGCTACCCCTCTGATACTATTACACTGCAGAATTTCATTCTTTTGTAGTGTAGCAAAATGACCTGCAAAGTATTTTGAACACTACCTCAGTGAATTATAAAATATTATCTGTGCATAAAACCCCCAAAATGTATTAAGAGTCTGAAAAAATAAGAAAATTATAAACTCTTACAGTGAAATCCTTGCCCCGTTAAGTCTATGGCAAAACTCCCATTTACTTCAACACGAACAGTAGTTCACCCCTAAACTAAACTAAAAAGATTCTGTAACACATGTTTCTAAAAGTCTTAGTGACGATATTAAACTAATATATGGAACAAAAAGGCTGTACATTGTAAAAGTAAAGTAGTGAATGTG